GAAAGCAACTTATTGGACGGTAGCAATGTTTTGATTTTATCCTAACGTTACCTCAATGTTATATCACATACAAGCAGACACAACACATTGAACAGTTATCATTGTAAACCCTACCGCCATCTGTCGTATATACTTTGATGGGCAATACACTCAACAAATGGTTGTAGCACAGACAAACACACATAACACTCGCAAGTTGTTCATGGAACAAGCGTTTAACGGTCAATTTAAAAGTATCGTAGTTGGTAGTACCACCATCTTTGGCGCACATAGTCAATTCCCTTGCGTTTGACGTTTACACACTACCGCCATCTGTTCAGCGTACTACCCACCACAGTGTACTCAACAGATGGCGGTAAGGTTTTAGCGACGATATGTTACGGCGAGAAATATTCAATGTGTTATGTCTGTTTGTCTGTGGTTGTAGTGTGTAAACGTCAAACGATAGGGAATTGATTATGTGCATCACAAGTGGCGGTGCTACCAACTAAGAAACATTTAAATTGACCGTTAAGAACGATTTCGATGAAGGTTTTATGTCTGCTTGTCTGTGATCATACCTTGTCATACCATATACTGTGATCATACCTTGATCATACCATACTGAAATTACTCTCTCATACTCGAAATGTGCCACGACTAAATTGGCACAACGACGCCCTATACGCTCTCTGACCGAAGCGCAGGGTGTTTTCTCATTTTTATGCTGGCTACAAAAATATGTCGGCGTACCAGGCCCTTGTACCAAACGCATAAACGAAGCTGATACTCCTAATGTTTACATCAACTGACATATAATCGAACCAAACGAACCAAAAAATCGGCTTCAAGCAAAGTGCTCTTGGATGACTTTGATGCCACCGGAGTGGTTTCAATGCGTTTGGACGGAATTGAAACTCGCAGGACGAATTTAGAATCAAGAACCAGTATTAGATTTTAAACAATATCTCAACAATTTGTGACTCTTTATCAAATCCAACGGTACGTATGGAAAGGAGAATTAATGCAAAAGCCATCATTGACAGAAATATTCCTTTTTTGTACAAAACCCGTTCAAAAAGAGAGGTAAAACGGGGGTTGAGCTTGGTAGGACGGAAATTAGATCAAAAGCCCTATTAATTGGCGGTCGAACTGAGTATCGTAAGAACTATATTGGTCACATCCGGACATGTTAAAGGTTCCCTTGAGGAAGTGGACAAAATCTGTCTGGAGACAAATCTCATGATGCGATGTGTTGTCTTACATTTCTAACATATTTTTATCTAATGGGACTGACTTGCGGTTACATTTCGCTGTGGGACAATTTGACTTGGTATTGTTCCGTTGTACTCAACACTTGTCACTGATGAAGTCTGCAAGTAGTAGACGAAATACGCGTATCTGTCGAAAGATAAGCAAATATAACGGAGTTTAAAGGAAATATATATATTTTTTTTTTGCTTTATTAGAGAGATTTTCAACCTTGGGCTGAACTTTAAAGGAAATAAACCAACACACTCAAAGCTCTTCATAAAGGTTTTCCGTTAAGAGGTTCGACAAATTTAAAGGATTTGTATTTTTTTGTCATTTTTCTTGAACAAACCAACTATTTTCAATAGTACATCTCAAAAAACATAGAAAGATAAACTGAATAATGATGCTAACTCAAAATTGATAAAAATGCCGATGGGACTGACTTGCGATTACCGGCAATGCACATCATTGTTAATGTGCTGAGCTTTGAACGCGAAATGTCAAGCATACTGATATTAAAAATCTATCACTTTAAATTCACCTAACTTATCCTTGGATTTCATGTTTGCTGGCATTTTTTGAGTGTTTTTTTTCAAAATTTCTTTGAATCAAGCTAGGAGTGCATATAAACGCAGTAGGCATTGGTTGCCAGGACAAGTTAATTTGTTTACATCATGGCTTCACCGGAGCAAGCACGTCGCGATTCGATCCTGCACGCTCAAAACGAAAAACCCGGTCTATACGCTCCTGGCAGTTTTTGATCAAATTCCTAGGCAGGAATGTATACCTCGGTGGACTCGGTGGAATGTATAATTAAACGAAGTCGAAATTTCCTAAAAAGTTGTTGTCTGGCAAGCAATCTGCAGTTGTGGGCTGAAAAGCGAAACATTCGTTACTTCGAGTATCATGAACCAGCAAATTTACCAGGAGGACTGTTCACCGAAGAGACTACTGTTATTTTCTGGAGCAGCATGCGGTGGATTGCCTCTTCTGGCCGGACTTGACAAGCTGCCAATACTCAAATACCACCAAAAAGTGGTACAGCGAAAATGACGTCACAGTGCACAGTGGTCCAGAGCGGAAAAATACATGGAAATTGGGTTTTTCGCAAAATCTACTGGTTGTTGCGTTTTGATGTCTTCGAAAGAATTGTTGATAATAAAAAAGCGCATCTTTTCATTGGATCAGTTATTAGGGTGATTCAGTTTCAGGCTGACTTCAAAAATCTAACTCTTTAGGGAAATTTTTGAGAACTTTTTTACTTCTTCAAAGTTGTAGAGGATGCAAAACCAAGCAACTTTGTCCAAGACGTCAAATTTTTATCTCATCATCTACGCAGTCTACGAACTGAAACAACTAGAAGGTTAGGGTGATTCATAAAAAACAGTTTTTTGACCATAACCTTTTTTCTTTGTATTTAGAGGAAACTATTCTTGAGAACACTTTTAGAACTTTAAAAAACACACATTTTGATCACCTAAATACGACGTTTGGACCACTGAATCAAAAGATATAGTCATTTTAAGGTTTGAAACAAGTATTTTTCAAACTAATATAACTTTAAAACGCGCAAGGCAATTGCAAATCTATTTAAAGTAATGGAAAGAAGAAACTTGGTTCTACACTTGCTGAAAAATGGCAGAGGTATCTTTTTTTTAACTCGAGATATTTGAATTAGAAAATTGTCATTTTTTAAGGATAAAAGCCATAGAACATGAATAAAAGTGGCAATTGATCAAAAAACTGTTATGATCAAAAAACTGTTTTTTCATGAATCACCCTAACCTTCTAGTTGTTTCAGTTCGTAGACTGCGTAGAGGATGAGATAAAAAAATTGACATCTTGGACAAAGTTGCTTGGTTTTGCATCCTCTACAACTTTGAAGAAGTAAAAAAAAGTTCCCAAAAATTTCCCTAAAGAGTTAGATTTTTGAAATCAGCCTAAAACTGATCCAATGAAAATATGCGCTTTTTTATTATCAACAATTCTTTCGAAGACATCAAAACGCTACAACCAGTATATTTTGCGGAAAACCCAATTTCCATGTATTTTTCCGCTCTGGACCACTGTGCAGTGGTTCCCAAGGAGATGAATCCGGTCAATACTCCATCGTGAAGCACACATTGAAGAAAAAACTGCAATTGATCGAAGGATTTCAAGCGGAAATGTAATTTGACAACCAAACAAGTGGGAACAGGGCTCGTGCAAAAGATGATGGGCCGTGTACGAAGAAAAGTTCGGGCAATGCACAGTGGTCCAGAATGCAGATTTAGGTGGAATGATATGTTTTGAACCTGAAATTGAAACTTTAGACTAAAAGTCTTTTCTACAAAGTTGTTCCTTATAGTTAGGCCCTCATTTTTATGACAATGAATTCTAGGGTGGTTCCTATTATCATTAAAATCAAAAATCTAACTTTTTTGTTTGTATAAATTAAGGTATACATTTTTCGGCAAAGTTATAGCTGAGCTAATTTCAAGAAACTTTGTTGAAGATAACTTTTTTGTATCTCTTAAATTGGCCGATTTAGAGCTATTTTCTTGAATTAAGTTAGGGTGGCCCTTGAAAAAACAGTTTTTTTGCTCTAGTTTTCTTATTTCAAATTTATCAGCAAAGGTGTCTTCAGATAACTTTTAGATCTTAAGAAGGCGCAAGTTTTTGCTGCACAAAACTTGTCAATATCTTTCACCGATCAAGAGTTATTGACGTTTTTATACTAAAAATATACACTTTTCAAATGTTAATATCTCTGGTTGGGGCAAACAAAAAAAAAGTTTTTTTACGGCATTTGAAAGGGCGTATGTTATTCTCAATATTATGACAAAATTGGAGGTATGTTATTTTTTAAACTTGTATAAAATCAATTTGAATTTAGTCATATTTTTTACTATATTTGGGTATATCTTTTTTATTAGAAGAGATACAGGCAACAAATTCAGGTATAAAACATTTGTCTAAAAGAGTTTTAAAATTCTTTTGGAGATAACTTTCATGAGAAATTTCAAATAAAAAAGTTATTGGCAAAAGATGGATTTCATAGGACCACTCTAATGACAAATTTATATAAAATGTGCTAGTACATTTAGTGTATTGACAAGCTTTGTGCAGCAAAAACTTGCGCTTTCTTAAGATCTAAAAGTTATCTGAAGACACCTTTGCTGATAAATTTGAAATAAGAAAACTAGAGCAAAAAAACTGTTTTTTCAAGAGCCACCCTAACTTAATTCAAGAAAATAGCTCTAAATCGGCCAATTTAAGAGATACAAAAAAGTTATCTTCAACAAAGTTGCTTGAAATTAGCTCAGCTATTACTTTGCCGAAGAATGTATACCTTAATTTATACAAACAAAAAAGTAAGATTTTTGATTTTAATGATAATAGGAACCACCCTAGAATTCATTGTCATAAAAATGAGGGCCTAACTATAAGGAATAACTTTGTAGAAGAGACTTTTAGTCTAAAGTTTCAGTTTCAGGCTCAAAACATATCATTCCACCTAAATCTGCATTCTGGACCACTGTGCAATGGCCTATGGTAAGAGGGAAGATTGAAACAATGGTCTTACAATAAGCAGAATACCTACTAATGTATACGTATGAAAAATAAAACGCATTTTTAAACCACAACAAGATTTTCGTGTCCGGATTTTTTCGTGTTCAACCTTTACTTTTTGCTCTAATATCTACACATAGGGGTTTTCCTGTTTATGTTAAAAACGCTAACATGCAGATTTAAGCAACGTGTTACATTTTCATTTTTGTTTTCAGTGACAATAGTGACATCGAAGATGATACTGGTGACGACTCCAAATCGGTTCGTACAACGGACGAAAACAAAAAGTGAGTAGTTTTGCCGAAAATTCCAACTCCATATTAATGATCTCCTTTCTTGAATTTGAAAATGTCCTTTTACCTAGTACTATATCAATTCTCCGAGAAGATTTTAATTTAATCAAACGAAAACGAGTTTTTCAAATAAGTCTCACTAATTTACATCACGAATCTGAAATCCCCCATAATAGCTATCACAACGCATTACATCAAAGTTCAACTTTAGCGAGTTCTCGTTTTTGCCCACCACCTAATTAATCTTTCCCTCTCGACTCCAAACCACCCACAGACAGAACCACAGTGAAATTGAGAAACGCCGACGTGATAAAATGAATACCTACATCACCGAGCTGTCGGCGATGATTCCCATGTGCCATGCCATGTCTCGGAAGCTGGACAAACTGACGGTCCTCCGGATGGCTGTCCAACACCTGAAGACGATACGAGGGGCCGTCCATTCATACACCGAGGGGCACTACAAACCGGCTTTCCTCTCGGACCAGGAACTCAAGATGCTGATCCTGCAGGCGGCTGAGGGATTCCTATTTGTGGTGGGCTGTGATCGGGGGAGGATTCTGTACGTGTCGGAATCGGTTTCGCAGATATTGAACTATTCTCAGGTAGGAACGAGTTTTGTGGCATATTAGCTTGGATTGATTGGAATGCTTCTTTCTTCAAACTAGGGGGATTTGCTGGGACAAAGTTGGTTCGATATTCTCCATCCTAAGGATGTGGCAAAAGTAAAGGAGCAACTGTCTTCTTCAGATCTTAGTCCAAGGGAACGACTGATAGATGCTAAAAGTATGATGTTCAAAAGAAATTTTCTGTATAGAAAAGAGTCGATTGAAACCAAATCGATCATTTCAGCAATGCTTCCGGTGAAAACGGATGTCCCACAAGGCGTAACGAGGCTATGTCCGGGCGCAAGGCGTTCGTTCTTTTGTCGAATGAAGTGCAAAACCAACATTCAGGTCAAGGAGGAAGCAGAATCCAACCCTTCGGCGTCAAGTTCTCATCGAAGGAAAAACAAGGTCAACTCCGGTGAGTTTGCTAATTTGTGAACTCAAAGTAAACTAAATTGATTTGATCTGATTTTTTTTTTCATTTCAGACAAAAAATATTCAGTCATACAGTGTACGGGATATTTGAAGTCTTGGGCTCCAGCGAAAATCGGTTTAGAAGAGCACGAAACCGACGGGGAAGGTGAATCCTGTAATCTTTCGTGTCTGGTGGCTGTTGGCAGGGTTCAGCCCTGTCTTTTTCAGAATAAAATATCCGGGAATGTGAATCTGAGCAATCGCCGACCGACGGAAAGTGGTGGAAGCGCTGGATCGACCGGAACCAATGGCTGTAAAGGTTTCAACCGAAACAACATTCCAAACCTGAGAAATGTACAATTTATATCGCGCCATGCAATGGATGGAAAGTTCCTATTTGTGGACCAACGGGCCACGCTGGTCCTGGGGTTCCTTCCGCAGGAGCTTCTGGGGACCAGTATGTACGAATACTATCACCACGAGGATATTCCGGCTTTGGCAGAGTCGCATAAAGCGGCGCTGCAGGGCAATCAGTGTGTGACGTCTCCGGTCTATAGGTTAAGAACCAAGGAGTACGGATTCGTACGGCTGCAGAGTGAATGGAAGTCATTTCGGAATCCTTGGACCAAGGAAATCGAATATCTTATAGCGAAGAACAATGTCATCTTGGTAGATTTGGCGGATAGTACAGGAGGGTGCTATGGAGGGAAGAGTGCGACCGTGCCAGGTGGCAACAATGGAAACGGCAGCAACGAGACGAGCGACGGAAACAACAACAATGAAAGTAATGGACAAAGTACGGTTGGATATGATTTTTTTAACCATTGTAAGTAATGGTTTGGCGTTAGGAATCCAATTGGCATGGAATTTAACTGAAAAAAAAAATCGAAATCTATTCCAAAATTATAATAACCCTTAGAGAAAGCTTCTGATGTTTTATGATTTGTGGCAGTGATAGCAGCTAATCGATTTACATTTCTCAATTGCAGCTAACGGTCGTGAAATACAGCGAATGATAAACTCGCATGTGGAGGCTAGTAAAATAGGACGGCAAATAGCGGAACAAGTTCTGGATCACCAGCGAAGGACAGGTGACTCCTCGGCAGGTGGGTCATAAGCAAGGGCTTTCTTGTTTTGCTTGTATTGATAATTTTTAATTTGATACTCATGAGTTTGAACAACTCTACTTTTGATTCGGAGGGCTAGTTTGGACTCATTTAAATTAGTTGAATCAAATGAAGTAGATTAAAGAATCGATTCAATGCTTATACACAACTTGCTACTAGAACTACAGTGTACTCGATCATATAAAATCATCGACTTCCTTGACCATCCCTCATTAACGGATGAGTTTGGTAAAGGAGATGATCAACCTGGTTCGTATTCGTACTTTCCTCAAAATTGTCCTTTTCTCGCTTTTTACTTTCTATATATGATTTTCACACTGCCTTACTATAACGGTACTATCAACCAGTGTTGGGAAAATATCAAAAGATCAAATCTCACCAAAGATCAAGATCACGCTTGATTTTCGAACACAAATATCAACAAGCAAAGAACTTCGGTTGATATTGCAAGCTGTGATTATCGCAGCTCGAAATATCAAGCTAACAAAACTCACCAACTGCATATCTCACCAAACTGTGGTGAGATTGAGTCTAATTATTTGCTTTACACCCAAACACAACCGAAACTGCCATAATGGGTCGCAGCAGTTGCTTCGTATCTGCCATCGGTGTAGAGAGAAAAGGATAGCATTATAAACCTTCTCTTTCTACGAAAACGAGGTGCAACGGAGTCATTTTTGCCTCGATTCAACTCTCAGCTTCAACTTTACACGTTGTGAATAGTCTCGCAATATCAAAGAAGCTTGTAAAATCAACATCAAGCATGATTTTTTGGTCCAATATCACGCGTGATATTGAGAGCTTAAGAGAGCGGTAAAATATCAATTTGCTGATGATTATGCCATCACTGCTATCAACTCTATACTTTCATCTCCTCATATATCGTATAAAATGTCTACTTTAAGTCTGATATTTGACTTTAAGCAAAAACGTTGTTGAAATTAGTAAAAACATTCACAAGCTGCTCTCGGGAGTCGATAAACATTCCTAAATTAATCCTAATACTGGCTTGTGCCGGACAGAGTTGGTAACGGTCAGTTGTGTCAGTGGCGTTTGACGAAAACCAAAAATAAATTATCGTGGTACAGTATCGGTCGTAAGTGACGCAGACAGTCCGACAGTAATCACTAAAAAAAAGTAAGAGGTTGTATCCAAGACACGCCCGTAGATTTGGCGTAGGATTACGTGCTTTGTGTCAATATTCGGCAACTGGGTTAGGGAAACCAATTTTTCCCATCACGGAACCGCCTCGTTTTCTGATGACAAAAGTACGCATTTTCGTGCACAAAACGCACGGAGTTTTTGATTTATTTAATAGATAATCAAAAAACGAAAATCTCTTTGCTTTTTCTAGCGTCCTGGAGAAACCCTTATCTTAATTCAAAGTGTTTCTGGTTAACTGACAAGATCATGTGGTATTCGGTCACTGCGAGTATTTTTATGTACTACTTCAATACTGTTACGCATTTGACCACAAAAGTTTGGTTGCTGGGTACATTATCAAAGACCTTTTGGGTGATGTGGCTGGCAGCAAGGCGAGCGAAGGTTCAATGAAAAATAACACTTAAACAACAAAATTTATGGTGTTCTTGAAAAGAACCGTTTTTTCATGATGGTTGAGTAATGCTGAGCTATTAGGTTGTTCAACACGGATGAGGCGGGTGAGTTATCTGTTTTTTTTTGGAATGTGGGTGACGCACTTGGCATAGATGGCCCACAGCGGCTCACGATGAGCAACTGAATCCGATCAGAAGCGGTGCGACTTCTTCCTCCTTCTTCTTCTTGGAGGACAATGTTCAACGCCACGCGCCGTAAGCACTGCTGCTGCTGATGACGACCGACTGGATACCACTACACACGGTGATTGTATAAACACCGATCGGCGAGACTGGATGGAATTCGATTTTGAATTCTGTGTTAGGGACAGCGCTTTTGCAGGAAACCGGTAATAATTTTTATCACCATTGCAACAGTTGGACATTTTTTGTTATTTTCAATAGTGACCGATTGAATATTGCTAAAGTGTTCATTTTAGCAGATTTGTAGAAAAAAATCCAATCAATTGGATTGTTTAGAATTAAAATCCATCCGCTATTGACAGAGTTATAAGTGGACTAACCACTTTTCGTAACACGTTTTTTAAATTGCAACCTCAATATGTTGAAGTAATGAAATTGGGTTGTTAGCGGAATGCTAAATAAAACAGCAAAAAAAGGTTATCTTCCATTTAATTCCACTTAATTAATTTTGGTATCCATGACAGATACGTATTTCGACCACAATGTGCAGTCTTCATCAGTGTCATTCCCACTAAAGAACTTATCAAAATCTAACCCCCTTAAGTACTCATCCCCTAGGTAAAAAAGTCAAGATCATAGGTATAAAAATGAAACTACAATGTGTTGAATCGGAACCTACCTAACTAATAAAAACCAAAGATTTAAGTAAGCTAAAGGAGAAAAATCTATACAACTCTCTAATAAGGAACATCCCCAAAGGCTTGGTAGCCATCATAATGAAGTAATGAAATTGGGTTGTTAGCGGAATGCTAAATAAAACAGCAAAAAAGGTTATCTTCTAAATAAAACAGCAAAAAAGGTTATGACACTGATGAAGACTGCACATTGTAGTCGAAATACGTATCTGTCATGGATACCAAAATTAATTAAGTGGAATTAAATGGAAGATAACCTTTTTTGCTGTTTTATTTAGCATTCCGCTAACAACCCAATTTCATTACTTCATTATGATGGCTACCAAGCCTTTGGGGATGTTCCTTATTAGAGAGTTGTATAGATTTTTCTCCTTTAGCTTACTTAAATCTTTGGTTTTTATTAGTTAGGTAGGTTCCGATTCAACACATTGTAGTTTCATTTTTATACCTATGATCTTGACTTTTTTACCTAGGGGATGAGTACTTAAGGGGGTTAGATTTTGATAAGTTCTTTAGTGGGAATGACACTGATGAAGACTGCACATTGTAGTCGAAATACGTATCTGTCATGGATACCAAAATTAATTAAGTGGAATTAAATGGAAGATAACCTTTTTTGCTGCCTCAATATGTTGCTGAAAGACGAAATCCTACGGCAAAATTCTATGGATAAACTTCACTGGGTAAATTGCTCAGCGTTTATCTACTATAGTGCAAGTTAAAAGCGGTTTTTGCTGATATTTCCTAATGAACTCGGGGCAAGTTGCGTGTCAAATGGACTGGATGGCGTATCAAATGGACTGCCTAATCGTATTCGAAAAAGAAAAGTTGTTTCATAAAATTGATGCTTTGCTGATAATTTCGCTGTTTATAATGTTATATTGATGGAGGTTATAAGGTGGTAGACAGTGTTGGCTGAAATCAAGATCGAAAAAATAAAAACAGCAATCTTTCAAGATCAATATCACACAAAATCACAGGCACCAATATCACAAGCCATCATCACCACCAAAATCACACGTGATTTTCGACAAATATCAACCGTGATTTTCGATTCCCAAAATCAACCAGCATCAACTTCAACCAAGATCAAAATCATCGAAAATCATAGGATTAGAAGATATGTTAAATTCTAGAGTTTGGGGCATTCCCAAATTTAACTCAACATTCCGGATGAAATTAAAATGGTGGAATTCAACCCAAGATGGCTTCCAAAAATCCAAGATGGTGGACCAAAATTCAATATGGCGGCCCTCGGACAAGGAATATGCCTCTAAACCCATGCAATATGGGTATATACGGAATGGGATCGATGAGGGGAAGTGGAAAATTGACATCCGAAGCCATTTTTTAATCCAAAATAGTGGACAAAATCCAATATGGCGGCCCCCGGACAGGGAACATGCATACAAATCCAATATTGCAAGTGGAACTTAATGCCAGCCTAAGTACTTTTTCGTAGCTTTTGGTTTTCGGATTCGAAAGATCGTCAGTTGCAGTGGCTTGCTTACTGAGAAGAAAAACGTGGTCCCAGATCCTTTCATATTAAAGGATATGAAAGGCGTACAAGAGAAACAAAAATGATGAAAATTTTACCTTTTATCTGACTATTTGTGATCAACTTAATTTAGAAATTGAAAATGCATATGAAGAGCACAATAGAAAGATTGAAACTAACATTAAGTCAGACCCAAAATCAGATTAGTAAATTATTTGCTGACTTCTTTCATGGTGAAAATGTGAGAGATTACCAATATTTTTCGTAAAGGGTGATACGGTCAAAATTTGGTCAATATCAACTTGACGTATTTCTTTCAATTTTGCATTTAAAAAAACCTAAACACCCCTCATTTTGAAGGTGTGTGTGTGTAGAATGTTGCTCCTATTTTGATTTTGGAATTCACTCTTCAGTTGTCAAAATGCCGTCCAAGCAAGAAGAGCAGCGTATCAAAATTTTGCTCGCGCATCGCGAAAATCCGAGCTACTCGCACGCAAAGTTGGCAAAATCGCTAAAAGTTGCCAAATCAACCGTTACAAATGTAATTAAAGTGTTTGGGGAACGTTTGTCGACAGCCAGGAAGTCTGGATCGGGGGGAAATCGAAAACCGGAAGCCGCTGAGACGACAAAGAGAGTTGCCGGTAGTTTCAAGCGAAACCCTAACCTCTCTCTCCGAGATGCCGCAAATAAGCTGGGTGTATCGTCTACAACCGTGCATCGAGCCAAAAAACGAGCCGGACTATCGACTTACAAGAAGGTAGTGACTCCAAATCGCGATGATAAACAAAATACGACGGCCAAAGCGCGATCCCGGAGGCTGTACACGACGATGCTGACGAAGTTTGACTGCGTGGTAATGGACGACGAAACCTACGTCAAAGCCGACTACAAGCAGCTTCCGGGACAGGAGTTTTATACGGCAAAAGGAAGGGGAAAGGTAGCAGATGTTTTCAAGCACATGAAACTGTCAAAGTTCGCAAAGAAATATCTGGTTTGGCAAGTCATCTGTACCTGTGGCTTGAAAAGCAGCATTTTCATAGCTTCCGGGACTGTCAACCAAGAAATTTACGTGAAAGAGTGTTTGAATAAACGTCTGCTGCCTTTCCTGAAGAAACACGGTTGTTCCGTACTGTTTTGGCCGGATTTGGCATCTTGCCATTACGGTAAAAAGGCCATGGAGTGGTACGCCGCCAACAACGTGCAGGTGGTTCCCAAGGACAAGAACCCTCCCAACACGCCAGAGCTCGGCCCAATTGAGAAATACTGGGCTATTGTCAAGCGGAACCTAAAGAAGACCAAAAAACTGCTAAGGGCGAGCAGCAGTTCAAGGCAAACTGGCTTTCTGCGGCGAAGAAGGTGGACAAGGTGGCTGTACAAAATCTGATGGCAGGGGTCAAACGTAAGGCCAGGCAATTCGGATTTGGAAAAGCGGAAGCCTAACTGAATATTTTTCCTGAATTTTATACTAATTGAACTTGAAAAAGAAATTTAATTTGATTTTTTAAATAAACGATTTCACCGATTTACACGCGTTTTCCCTTGACCAAATTTTGACCGTATCACCCTTTATCTCCCCGAGCCAATGAAGAACATCGCAGTGGATAATTTAACTCTCAAGGAAATTATACGTGGTCTTGAAACCTTGGGTGCTTCAAAAGGTGCTGGACCGGATGGTTTACCACCTATTTTTTTAAAGTCACTTTCGAAGGAGCTAGCAAAGCCTTTGTTCTGGCTGTTTAATTTATCCTTGGAGTCGAGTGTACTTCCTCCGATTTGGAAGGAATCATTTTTAATTGTAATTTTTAAAAGTGGTAAAAAGTCTGATATAAAAAATTAACGTGCAGTTGCTATATTATCAAGCATTCCTAAATTATTCGAATCCATCATTAATGACAATGTATTCTTACAGATTAGGTCGGTAATTACTAGCAAACAGCACGGATTTGTTGAAGGACGATCTACAGCTACCAACTTGATACATTTTGTGTCATATTGTTTAAACTCATTGGATAAATGCAATTATGTAGAAACGCTATATACTGATTTTAGTAAAGCATTTAACAGAGTTGATATACCTTCTTCTTCTTCTTCTTCTTCTTCTTCTTCTTCTTCTTCTTCTTCTTCTTCGTATGCGCATTTCAAGCTTATTGCTTAGCGCATATTAGCTTATTGCGTGCTCTCAACTTAGTGTTCTAAATGCACTTCCACAGTTATTAATTGAGAGCTTTCGATGCCAATACCAATGCATGAATTTGTATAGTGTGTGGCAAGCACAATGATACTCTACGCCCAGGGAAGTCGAGAAAATTTCCAACCCGAAAGATTCCCTCGACCGGACCGGGAATCGAACCCGCCGCCTCCGGCTTGGTAATACCGTGCCTTTACTGACTAGGCTATGAGGCCCCACAATATCCCACTCTTGCTTTTTAAGCTTTCCAAATTAGGCTTCAATCTTAGGCTACTGAAATGGATCGAGTCGTACTTATCAAGGCGGACGCAAAAGGTAAAATTTGAAGGAAATCTGTCCACCATAGTTAATGTAACATCTGGTGTGACACAAGGTTCACATCTTGGTTCATTACAGTTTATTTTGTTCTATATATTTTTAAATTTCTTCATGTTTCTATATATGCTGATGACATGAAACTTTTTATGGAGATATCTAAAGCACATGATCTTCAAATATTTCAACATGAAATTGACATTTTTTACACATGGTGTAAGAAAAATTTGTTAGAACTAAATATTAATAAATGTAATTCTATATCGTTCACAAGAAAGCACGCTGTAATACACAACACAATTACTCTTGGTCAGAAAACAATCCAAAGATCCTATCAAGTCAGAGACTTAGGTGTTATCCTCGACACCAAGTTAACTTTTGCTGATCACTACAATAACATTATCTACATACAAAGCAAGCAACATGCTTGGGTTCATTAAAAGATTTAGTTTGCGCTTCAATGATCCCTACACAATCAAAACACTTTACGTAGCATATGTGAGGCCTCTTCTCGAATATTGTAGCATAGTTTGGGCTCCATATCATGATACACATGTAAACCGCCTTGAATCAGTTCAAAAGCAGTTCTTGTTGTTTGGTCTAAGAAAGTTGGGTTGGACGAGTTTTCCACTTCCATCGTATGAATCGCGTTGTATGCTAATTAATTAAGATGAGCTCAAAAAAGCGAAGAGAGCTCGCAATGATTGCTTTTATAAATGATGTGATTTCGCAAAGAGTTAACAGCTCAGAGATTTTGGAAAATATCAATTTTTATGCTCCCACTCGCTCACTGCGGAATAGAAATTTGTTTAGCATCAACAATCAAAGAACAGACTATGCCAAAAACAGCCCACTGAATAGAATGATGTCTTGCTATTATACATACTGTGAATATATTGACATAATTATGAATAAAAGTACGCCTTAAAAAAACTTTCTTCACGAGGTTAGCTAGGCATCAATAATAAAATATAAATGTTATGCAAGTACTTGAAGTTAAATTGTAACAACTAGCGTTTGAGTAAAATTGTAAAACGGTCTACACTGATTGACAACAAATAAATAAATATGTTCATATTTTTGTTAAATACGATAAATAAAGAGATTTATAGTCAAATCACTCGTTTATCGTGTGGCATCGTCGTCGGTGTCGGATTTGAATTGTTACAACAGCTTGAGTAACGGTATGATTTGATAAGAGGGGCTCGGTGGCCTTAGAGCGACCGTTTTTGCTTACTAAGCAGAAAACCGTGGGCTAAAACCCAAGCTCCTTTGCGTTATATGCTCGTTAGGAAATCAATTCAGCTTATCGAACCTAAACGAACCCTGCTGCAAACCCAACATCCCAAACCCAAAACCCAACAGCGTTCAGGCGCGGCTGGCGCTGGGACATAGGGGAAAATGGATGTAATGTCGGCCTAAATGCCCCTAATTTGGGCCCATACGTAAATTCAGCAATCGACTAAATTTTCAATAGCAACCAAAAATATCCATAAGTACCGTCCCAATGACGCGTTCATCTAGGTACAATTGATAAATAGCAGATTCTTAGCGATGGGCCCAATCATAGATCCATGGGCCAGCATTAGAGCCATTTCCCCTATATACATTCTTTATAAGGGAGACGGGCTCCGAATCATCCTCTATGATAACCACCGACAATCCAATACTAGGTGGGGGGAAAAGTAACTTCCTTGGGAACGGATTTTTTTTTTATTTTATTCAATATAGTCCTCTTTTAGCTCGATACACTTATTTCAGCGATTTTCCAACTTCATGATCCCGTCCAAAAAGTAATTTTTCGGAAGGTCTGGAAAATACTCCACCGCGGCGTCGATGATTTCCTCCCGTGAGCTTAATTTTTTTTATTGATGAGTCATCTTTTGAGGTTTGGGAAGAGATAATAGTCTGAAAGAGCCAAATCGGTTAATACGGTGGATGCGGAAGCAATTCGAGCCGTAAGTCATTGATTTTAGCCGTGATTGTGACGCTAATGCACCGGCGCATTGTCTTGCAAAAACAATTTTTTTTCGCTTCATGTGAGGCCGTTTTGCAGCGATTTCGGCCTTTAATCGCTCCAATAAGGGGCTGTTCATTTGCTACGTTGACAGTTTAAAGGGGGGGGGGGGGTAATTATCCACGGCCAATACAAATATAAAAACTTTTATATGAACAAATGTCTACGCAGGGGGAGAGGGGGTCACTTCCGGTCAGCCAACAACATTTCATGTATTTTTGACACTGCCATCTGTAACCGCATCGGAGGGCCTGCCGCTGCGTACTTGATCGGTAGTGGAGTTGCGGCCACCACGAAACTCTCGAAACCAATATTTGATGGTGTAATCTGATGGAGCATTAGCCCCATAATATTTATCCAACTTTTCTGTTGTTTCCTTCGCCGTTTAGCCTCTAAAAAAATAATGTTTTATGAGAGAACGAAAATCGTTTTTATGCATACTCAACATGATGCCAAACACGTCAACAACATCAACAAAAAAACTAAGACAGTATCGCACTGAAATTTGGCATGTCTGCCTAAACATGAACGGACTACAAGGCACCATAACCTTTTTTGCAGTAGCAGCTCATTCTGGCGGTCAAAGAGGTTACTTTTCACCCCACCTAGTATGAATGAACATCATTCCGCACAAATTTTCCTCCAGCCGATTCTAGCCACATAATTATTAGATTGGATTTACTTTTCTTCCATATCATTTTCATTTTTGCTTGGCTGGCACTTTCATGACCAATTCTGGACATTCACTCCGCTCAGTCAAAAGCCAAGCTCAAACACTCCTTTCGCGGAAAAATAATTATAAACCTGAAGTTGAACGGGAACTTTCTCCACTAATCTGTCTGAAAGATTGTATTTAACTTTCATGGCATAGAAAGATAGAAAAAAGATTGATGAAGATTATGAAGATTTGCTGCAAAAGGATGGAGCACAATATGAATAGATAGATTTGCACTGAGCACTCTGAACTACTATGTGAAGAAAAGGCGAGGGTTGAAACAAGCAAAAGTAAAACTGAATGCCGTGTGACGAGACCGGGACCGTGAAAACCAACTCAGCGCTCAATACGGAATGACCCTAGGTTTCTTGACAAAGTACAATTTTGAAGCATTCAGTTATGCGTTCAAGGAAAAATTTAACGTCCGAATAGTTATAAATATTATTGTAAATATCATGTCCAACTTTACGGCACCACCTAAATCGATTTGTCATCTTTCATTCTATTACAGAAAGCAGTCCAGACCCAACGGACACAGCCATTGCGCAGAGCTTCAACCCGGCTATCCAGGAGGTCAGTAATCTCTCGAATGAAGCCATTGCAGCCGTAGAACGCTCCCTAGCGTCGTCTTCCGGTGTTTCCCCGGAATCATCAACTGGTGCCGGAGGATCAGGAGGAGGAGCTCCTACAACCCAACGAGTAAATGGAACGATATCGGGGTTCAACCACGTACGGAACACTAGCATCATGAGTCCAGAGCACGGTAAGCTGGATTCTAGTAGGAAGTAGTCGTCATCCACGATAATTCGGAATATTCTGTTTCATTTTAGGTGTTATAGTTGGTTATTTAGTCTTCATATTCTTATTTTGATCTTATTTGCGCGATATTTCTGATAACTGTACTTAATTGGCATATGTACAGTGTATCTCAAAATTAATCGTTTACCCTACACACTTAGATTTTTTGCCGAGATGGGCACCACCGAGCAGCTCGGCAATCTATTTTGCTGGATCTCAGTGAAAAATTTGCTGATATTCAGTTAACGAACGGGAATGTTGCCGAGATCTCGGCTGACAAACATTAATTTTGCTGCGATCTCAGTAAAAATAAATTGCCGCGCCAATGGTGCCAATCTTCGCAAAAAAATCTAAGTGTGTAGAGGATTTTTTTTGAAACATGGTGAATAGATATAGGGGAAATGGCTCTAATGTCTGAGATGAATGGCTCTATGGATCTGAGATTGGGCCCATTGCTAAAAATCTGCAATTTATCAATTTCATCTAGATGAACGCGTCATTGGGACGGTACTATTGGATATTTTTGGTCGCTATTGAAAATTTAGTCGATTGCTGAATTTATGTATGGGCCCAAATTAGGGGTATTTAGGCCAACATTACATCCATTTCCCCTATATTTTTAAAATCGTGGCTGGTGGTTGAACAGATTTATTGCTATAGTTTTGGTCTTTATTGGAAGAGCTTGTATGGAGTTAGATTAATTTTAGTAAAACGCTCGATTTTCAACTTTTTACCTATGATGATGAATTTTAGTAAAAATATTGGCATATGAATGGTCTTTATTACGACTAAAAATGAGCAAAACTGCGAGAAGTTTTGTTTATTTAATTTCAAGAAATAAGGTAATAAGGTTTTTCAAGAAAAAGGTTTTTTTCTTAAATCGCTCTAACTTTTTGCAAATTCATCCAAATATGCCCAATATTGACCCAATAATTAATAAATGTATGTTGAGTCAGTTGCCAAAAATTCAGAGACAATGTCAATGTCAATGCTTTAAGAGCCGTTTCTCTAAAATTGAAGTACAGCTGTACGATCAATTTTGAGATACGCTATGTGCATTTCAATGTTGTTTTTTTTTTATCTTTATTAACGAACTATTTTTTAATGAAGATTTAAGAAGCCAAATTAGCTAAATTTTTCATTCGGAAATATTTTTATATGTTATGCTTATGTGATTTTCTCTTTCCTTCTTACAGAAGTTGCACATGGCCAGGCCACCAACACCGATGGCAATGACGAAGCGGCAATGGCAGTGATAATGAGCCTACTGGAAGCTGACGCCGGCCTGGGAGGGCCGGTTGATTTTTCCGGTTTACCATGGCCGTTGCCATGAAAACGCACCCTAGAGGCATTTCTAAACCATACCTTGATAGTCAACCAACCACGCAATGAAGCAAAGAGTTACCAACTTTTTTTTTTTTAGTCAAAAAGCGAAAGATAGTTATTTTAGTAGACCAAGTCATTTCTTATTTAGTTTTTAGAACAATTATCAAAATCAAAACGTAAATAAACGTTATTTTTCAATATAGCATATTATTTTAATCTCCTACTTTATGAAGAACCCATCAAACTACAGAACTAAAATACGGCTATGGCATATATTCAAGGACGATTTAGAATCAAGGGTTCGTCACTATCTATGCATTGAAGTCGCTGCTGCTGTTGCTGCTTCTACTCATGCGTATATATTGGTTTTGATAAGTAGGTGGCAGTATAATCGGAGGAAAGATCCTCACATGTTTATCTCGGTTCGAACACAACTTTGTACGGCTTTGGTGAAAGTGTTATTCCTGGAAGTAATTTAAGGCTTGCTTCATCGGAACAATTATCCGCTTTGTGAATGCTGAATTTCTGTAGAATTCCAACGAGAAACGTAAACATACATGCTCGTGCAAGTGATTCACCGAGACATCGTCTTCTTCCCAAGCCGAACGGAATCAACCGCTCAGTGTTGATTATCTTATTATCCGGGCTGAGGAACCGTTCGGGTCTGAAGTTTTCCGGATCACCCCAATGCTCCGGGTCCATGTGAACAGTTCTCAGTCCCATAAGGATGGTGGTATTCTTCGGTATTCGGTAGCCTCCCAAAGTGCAATCGGTTAGCGCTCTTCTGGGACCGCTGATTGGAACGATGTGGAAGAATCTCTGAACTTCAAGCAAGAAGGCTTCTGTGTAGGGTAAGCTGGTTCGATCGTTTTGCTGAGGAAGTTCGTCCTGCCGCATATGGGTGTCAATTTCTTCGTGGATCTTCCTCTGAATATCGATCTTCATGGTCAATATCATGAACGCTAAGTCGATGGTAATACTGGTTGTCTGGGATCCAGCGATGAAGATATCCAATATAATCATCGTCAATTGAATATCATTAAAAGTAGAACTAGGATCATCAATGCGATCTTTAATTTCCTTGATGAAGGCGTAAATCAGATCATCCGAACATTTATCTTCGCTGTATTCTTGATGATGCTTCTTGATAGTTATCATAAAAAATTCGTTCAGTTCTTGATTGAATCGCTTCAACAGATTATACCCAGTCCATTCGGGAGCTACATGACGAAGCCAAGGTAACTGACTTAGCACACCTCCGGACATGTCAAACGCCTTGGATCTATCTTGCAGCAGTTTTAGCAATCGTGTAAGCCGTGGATCGTCTCTTTGAATTCTTGATCCCGTGGTAAAAGTCCACAGCACGTTGATTACGCTCGTCGGAAGAATTTGACCCGGCCAAACTGGTTCTCCTTTCAAGTCACGTATGATTCCGGTGAGTTCGTTAAGTTCGTTTTGTATCTGCACCTGCATTGGTTGCCTTCCGTATCCGGCTTGCCGCAGGTGACGTACGACGAAATTTCTATGCTCTGCCCAAAATGGTCCATCAGTGCACGTCACTCCCAGTCTGCAATAAAACATTCATACAGAAATATTTTCTCGACACTGAAGCATTGAACAAACCTGGTGCCCATGGTCCTCAGCCGGAGAAAGAAATTATCGGGTCTTCCATCGAACTCTTCCTTGGCGTGGACTTCCCGAACGGCGGGATATTGTAGGGCCACCACAACGTATTCCCGTCCCAGCTTGAGACCTAAAACCGGACTGTTGTACTGCTTGGAGAGGGCTTCGAAAGCCAAATGTTGCCCTCCACTGGATCGTGCCATTTTGCGAATGAACGGGGTGTTGCCGATGAAAGGTAGCCATTGGGGACCTGGAAGGAAAACATGTTGATTTGTTACAATGGTCTTGGCATTTTCGGTATTTTTGTTTGCTGTGTTTTATGTTGTAGGGGAAATGGCTCTAATGTTGTCTTATGGATCCAAAGATTAAGCCTATGTTCTTCAATTTTTCGTAGAATAAAGTATCATCTGGACAATACAAAAGGATATTTTAGTTTGTTAGTGAAAAATTTATTGATTGCTGAATTTATGTATGGGCCCAAATTAGAGACATCGAGGCCGACATTACAGCCATTTCCCCTATCAAAATTATTTTTTTGCTGTATACTGATCGTCCCCGTTCCGAAAATATCCATATTGTAGTGTATTTGCCACTGTTTTTGAATCCATTGGCCGCACTATAGGATTCCAAAATGGCGTCGGATATCAATTTCCGGATAATTTTAACTTGGATATTATCCGGCGGGAAAGAAATGTGGATAGGGATAGAATCCGTTTATTTTTATCCATTGGATAGGTCTATCTGGATGCTTTTACTATCCATGCCTACCCCCCTACTGCGACTTCGGCGTAGTGGTTAACATCCATACCTCTCACGCCAATGTCACGAGTTCAAATCTCACCCCCGGACAAGTCACGAATGACCCAAGAGTGTTAAAGTGACTATAATAAAACAAAAACAAACAAAATTTTTAAGACTGATGAGAACCACAGCAGCGAAGAACAAAGCTTGTAAACGGTACTTGATTCCAGTGTTGCCAATTATTTTCCAACTTCCATCTGTATTGGGGGTGGGACTGTCAAATATGAACAATCATCGCCTACCTTGCATAACTGGTTCCAAATGACAACAAAGCCATAAGCAACCATGGTTTTGTCGTCAACCGACACAATCCACAAAAGCCGGTTCCATCACACACTACACATGCCACCAGAGTTTAAAATTATTGACTGCCTAGCCTGAATGTGAAAACACTGCACTATTCAATCCATTGTTCTGTGCAGACCGTTTGTGCCAAACGGTAAAGGACGATGCAATGAAAGAGCCAACAAAAACATTCAGTCACTCACGAGCAGGCGACGCACACCGCTTGCCTTCGCTCACACAGCATGTAATTGAGTCATTTTTTTTATAGAAAATGTACGGTCAGTCATTCAAAATAAATATTGGGTACCATCACGGCAGAATAAACGTGTTGACTGAGCTACTGACTGAGTGCTCGGCTGTCAGTGACTCGTTTACCTCTCAATCATTCAGACTCTCACGAGGCAGTGAATGATGAGGCAGATGGCAGTTCATATTCATATCAAAATGACTCAATGAACCTGACTGTTTTGCGCACAGGACAGCGTTACCTACAACATCTTTTACAAGTTTAACTCATTCAAGCAACCATGTATGTGTGTGAGTGTGCGTTTATTTACATCATACTACACGCCGACTTGGTTTCACTCAAGTTTAGAGCAGATCGAGTAGATCAAATTTGGTTACAATTTTTTATTATATTTTGAAATACATGCTATTGTCATTATAATGGAAATGCTTTTATTGTATTATTATTATTATAATTATTAATTCAAACCAATCATATCTACCACAGGTTTGTTGATGTTTGGATCCAAATTCACATATGGAGAATCAATGTGCGTAAACAGGCGAGGCCCAGTAAATTTGTCGTTTCTTCTTCAACCGTTTAAACAGCGGGAGAATGAAAGAGATGGCAAATTCACTGAGCTTTACATATTTACATCAGAGTCAATGTTATAATAAGAGTCCCGCCAAGAGAAAATGTTGCGAACAAGCAGCACTGCTTGTGATTTATTTTTCGTCAGAGTAAACGGTAACCAGATTTTTGCGTTAGCATCAGATGGCTTTCATTCAGAAGTGAAAAAATTGATGTCGATAAAGGAGAGACAAAAAAAAAATATAGAAATTGACAAATGTTCAAACAAGTGCTTGGTATAACTTTTTGATTTACGGTTTAGCGACTTTGCAGTCAATTTAATTGTTTATAGGAAAGTTTGAACATACTGAGAGGTAAGCACATATCATCGGTAAGAGACGTGTGTGTGAGAAAATTTGCGAAAAAATCTAAGGGCACCGGTGGGATTCGAACCAACAATTCCCATTCAGTACACGGGTGCATTGCCAATTATACAACGGTGGACCTATGGTCTACGGATGTATTTGGCTAATGACATTTGAGTTTCGAATCCGTTCCCCACCCTAGTCTCTTTGCGCAAGCGTTCTCTGATACACAACAATCGTCTATTATCGACGATATGTGCTTGTACCGCAACCACTCAGTATCAGTCGATGTGAACAAAACTCATTTTTGTTGTTCATCTTACATGCTGAAATATGTCCAGTACAGTATGACTATAACATTTTGAGCTGCCGGCATACATCCGTAGACCATAGGTCCACCGTTGTATAATTGGCAATGCACCCGTGTACTGGATGGGAATTGTGGGTTCGAATCCCACCGGTGCCCTTAGATTTTTTCGCAAATTTTCTCACACACACGTCTCTTACCGATGATATATCACTCAGTATGTTCAAACTTTCCTATAAAGCTTGGTATAACTTATAAATACCAAAATGTACTAAATAAAGCGAACAAATGTTTATCATCTTAAATTACTAAAATATTGTCACTAATGAATGCAATACTTGTAGTTCACTGGCTGTGGGAACAATAATATTTATTTACTTTGCTTGTTTGGTACCCTGCTTGACAGTTCGATTAGTACTTCTGGGGACTCTTGAGTCCCCTCTTATTAAAACATTGACTCTGATCAACATCTCATTGATGGATTTTCAGTAGGCCGATTGGACAGCACATCCCGCCCCTGGTATTTTCACCGTAAAAAAACTTTTTAATCTGACTGACAAAAATCTGTAAAATGATCTGTATAAGATCCAAGGGGTAAGACAGCTTTTGATCATGAGTAAAATCGTAGTAAATGTTGAGTAACTCGCGTTGATCAACATCAAATACGCATAGTAACCTGATTTTAAGATTGAAATCTGTCATGATCGGTGGCCTGAAGCTCATTGACATATTTTTTCCATAGTAATTTCATAAGCAACTGAAAACTGGTTCTGATGATCTTGAGGATTAGCTACTTGTGATGCTGGACTTGCTGGGTTGAATAATTCTATCCGGGATATAGGTGTTACAGAATGCACGGATTGTAGCGATGATTCAGGACGACCACCAGGCCTGAGTTAACGGATACCATCACCGACCGGGTGAATCTATTTACAGACAAAATTGTAGCTGTTTTTAAGATTGTGGTTTATGGCACCGCTTGTTTCTGCTTCTCCCAGTATTTAGCACTTTGCTGAACTTCCATGAGCTGCATGAGCATGGCGTCCACCAAGAAAAATTTCCAGCTTACGAAAATGACATTACCTGGAACTATTGTTCAAGCTAACAGGGAATGTTTAGTACTGAGTTCTGCTGGAATTCTCCAGAATTTCTTTTGGAATTCACTGCGTTAAACCTCAAGTGCGGATACCCAACAAACATTTATAGCTGAATAAGGGGTTATTTAGGCAAAAATATGCTTATTCTATTCAGCTAAAAAATAGCTTATTCAGCTTTTAGTCAACTCAAATTGTTAGTTGGGTATGTCCATATGTCAACATCGTCGGATTATAAACTGCTGTTCATCACATCAATTTTCATTTAACTTCCTTCTTTTGACAACAGAAAGAGCACCCAAAAGCACGATGAACATCGCTATGAAGGTTATATGCAGGAGGAACAGAAACGTCATGATGTCATTAAGAAGAGCTCCGATTTTCCCCATCTGACACCAATCGACTATCTCCGGGTACAAGCTGAGCAAGGCCTAGGTGCAACAAATTCATGAGCTATCTTCATTAACAAAAAGTCTGCTTAGGGCCGCTTCAGATGGAAGCAATGGCGTAGCGAATTACTCGAAAAAAAAAATACGTCCATGTGCTACAACAACAGCAGTCACCGAGGAGAATCAAAGCCTCTCTGAGCGATGACTTCAAGTTCCAGGTGTTCAAAAGACTATTATCGATAAGATGTTTGTCACTTTCGAACAACTGCCAACACAATCCGTCCGAATAGATTCCCTGGTTGGAGGAGCGCTGCAAGCCACCCTTCTATGGCTTATGGGATATCGTCAATCATACCCTGAGTGAAAACCCATTCTTGATGGCGTCCCCGGTTTCGTTCTTTTGATGCTCGTAACTAGTTTCGGAACCGCATACCGCCCAACTGATCAGTTTTACGATAAAATGAAATTCCTACTAATCCCTTTCAAGATATAACGAACTTTTTTTTGCCGCATTCGTCTTCCTGTCGTATCAACCAGGCCTGCGGTATTAGATTTCGGTAGATATATTATGGCTTTTATGCTCTGGTTGTGCACCCAGACAGAAACTAATACACCAGCTGAGGTTCACGAGTCAGATACTATGAGCCGTCCTGCAGGTGATCTTATTCAATTTTAACGGTTTCTGAATTTAACAAATCAAGCGTAAGTATTCAAATCGACGTATCTGATTTTGTAAGCAATCACTTCAATCGAAGATTTGTGGCAACTGCTAGCTCACTCACAGAAACTAACAAACACCAGCTAGTAGGGAAAAGATTCTCCTACTTGATGATGGTATTTGAGAAACTGAAAAATAGAACATAACATTTTTATGGTTTACATATTACGTGTTAAATTTTAATATTCGATGTTTAATTTTTTTCAAATTCTTCTGATCAAAACAAATTTCTACTTTATTTAAGTATTTACTAGATTGAAAGGATATTCAATATGCTTGTTTTACATAGCTCTAACCTAAACCATGGCCTACTTAGTAATGGAACAAACTCTTTTGCTTATTTCCGCGCTCCTAGTGGACATTTTTAGAAGCTTTTGACGTCTATCTATTGAAAACAATAATATCAATACAAATGTTTATTTTCAGTTCATAAAAAATTCTTGTTTTGGAGACAGTCATCATGTAAGAGGAGCGTAGAAAAAAAAAATCGTGCGC